TGTTTTCTTCCAGGAGTTCATAGCTTTAGCTCTTACGTTTTGGTCTTTGATTCATTTGGGGTTAATGTTTGTATATGGTGTTGTAACCAGCCACTACAAAAACCAAACTGGTGAGACAGATGCTGGTGAAAAAAAAAGAAAGGTTTTATTTAAGTGCAGGTCACCCAAGGAGATGAGGGACTCTTGTCACAAAGCCCATCTCAACATCTCAGTGCAGGCAGAGGTTTTCATAAGGAGGGGGAGGGAGAGCAGAACAAAGAAATCAAGGGAACAGGGTTGAAAAGTTCTCTATGTGCAGTGCAGCACAGTCCATTCCAATAAGGATCTCCAACATGGTCAAGTGATGGTCTAGTGTGCGTCACCCTGGGCTTTGTCATCCTGGTTCTTTGTCATCCTGGTTCTATGTATGAAGGTCAGCAACTCTCCCAGAACTGAAATGACTGCAGGTTGGAGTCTAAATCTTCTGAAGTTAGTTCCTAGGATTCTTATGCAAACATGCTGTTTATCTACAAGCTACATATTAGTCAGAGTCAGCATTTACAGAAACTGTGTCAAAAGAGGCCCAAGTTTATTTTTATTTTTTTGCATGCAGATAGCAAGTTGTCTCAGCACTATTTGTTGAAAAGATTATTCTTTCCCTTTGATTTTCTTGGTACCCTGATTGTAAAATGAGTTTACTGTAAATGTGAATGTTTATTTTTGTTCCATAGATCTATATGTCTGTCTCTATGCCAATACCACACTGTCTTAATTACTGTAGTTTTTAGTATGTTTTGAAAATGGAAAATGTGAATTCTCTATCTTTTTCGAGAATATTTTAGGTATGCTGGGTCCCTTTCATTTTCATATAAATTTTAGGATTAGACCAGCTTGTCAGTTTCTGTAAATAAACCAGATGAGATTTTGATGGAAATTGAGTTGAATCTGAAGGTCATTGTAGGGAGTACTGCCATCTTAACAATATTAAGTCTTCCAAACATGAACGTGGAATGTCTTTCCATCTATTCAGGTCTTTAATTTCTTTTAGCAATGTTTTATAAATTTCACTATACACATCTTACTTCTTCTGTTGAATTTATTCCTGTATTTTATTTCTCTTTGTGCAAAGGTAAATTTAATAGCATTTAAATTCAAATGTTTCCTTAATTTGGATTGGGGGGAGGGTTGTTCACTGCTAGTGTATAAACATACAATTGACTCTTGTACATTGATCTTGTATCCTGAAACCTTAATGAACTCTTTTATTAGTTCTAATAGTTTTTTAATGTATTTCTTAGATTTTTTATGTATAAAAGCATGTCTGAAATAGAGATGGTTTTACTTCTTTCTTTAGAATTTAGATGCCTTTTATTTCTTTTCTTATCTAATTGCCCTGACCATAATCTCCAGTACAATGTTGAATTGAAGAGATGAGAGCAGATATCCTTGTCCTGTTCATGATCATAGGATAAAACAATTCCTACTTTTAGCATTAAATATGGTATTAGATGTGGGTTTTTCATAGATGGCTTTTTTCAGGTTGAGGAACTTCCTTTCCCTTCCTATTTATTGTTTTTAAATTTTTTTTGAATTCTTGGATTTTTTTTCCAAGTGCTTTTCTGCATTCAGTTAGATGATCATGTGGTTTTTGTCTTTATTTTCTTGGTATAGTGTATTACATTAATTGATATTTGAGTGTTAAACCAACTCTTCATTCCTAGAATAAGTCCCAGTGATTATGATGTATAATCTTCTTTTATGTTGCTAGATTCTGTTTGCTAGTATTTTGTTAAAGATTTTTGGATCTACATTCATTCAGTATTGTTCCAAAGTTCTTAGATCCCTTTTGACATAGACTGCTGTGACTCTGATTTCTTAAAGCACCTGTGTTCCTTTAGGCAGTACATTTTAAATATTAACCAAATTTTCAAATTTATAAAGAGTACATTAAGACGATTTCACTGAAATATTTTTTAATGTTGGAAAGCCATTCTTTTTTTTTCAGGAATTTACTTTTGCTTAAAAAACATGTCTCTTTCTGTTTGCTAGATATTCTATGAAATCTGTTCCTTCCTTCTCCAAATCTTATCCACTAAATTGATATTCAGAATTTATAAAATGTAACCAGCATATCCAGCTCCCAAATACAAGATATTAAATAGGGGAAGAAATTTATTTGGTTGGCCATTGGAGCTGTAATTCTTTTGGGACAGAAGTTTTGCTGCCTTGACCTTGTCTTTCACATCGTGTATAAGTACCCTTTCCTGGAGTATCTAGAAGAACAGTAGGGGTATGCAAAGCCATCCATTAAATATCTTTCTAGAACATTAGTTTTACTAAAATAATTATAATGGATGTGTGTGGGAAAACTTTTTATATTAAAACAGAAAAGACTTTGTATGAAGACAAATACAGAATATTCAGGATGTTTAAGCTAAGCCATAAGACTTCATAGATATTCAGTACTTTTCGTACAATTTTTAGCCCAACCACCCAACTCTAAGGGTATGAATTCTCTTTTGTTGTTAGATAACTACATTTTGTGGAAGTTTTGGAGAAATACTCTGAGGCATAAAATAAATGCTAACAATCTTACTTTATGAACAAGCTATTGTCCTCTTTGTAAATAATTAACAAACCAACTCTGGGAATATCCTCTTGTCAGTTTTAACTTTTTTATCCTGTTAGTTAGATATTTTCCTTTCTTATATTTAGCTTCCCATTTTGTTAATTAACTTGTTGCTCTACTCTAAATGAGATAGAAGATTAGGTCTTTTTCTGTTACTTTGTTGTCTGACAATGCTTTGATGAAAAATGTAGATCATGATACCAGATATTTTCTCTGCCATATACCTCGTGGGAAATATTATTGACATAAATTAAACAAGAAGACAGATTTCAGAGTGGATATCAAATCTTGAGATTGTTTTATTGGCAAGTCCTCTGCATTTAAAGGCTGAATTAATATACTTGCTCATATTAACTATGCTAATAGTCCATAAGGAAGCCATAAGTATCTTTAGATAGGCTTATGGAAGAAGTATTATACTTTGTACTTACCACAGCTTGTTAATTTTATAGCCTTCCAGAGCATAATAATTGCTAAAGGGTAGTCTAATTATAGCAACATAACAGAAAAGAAAAGAAGAAAAAAAGCCCTGTTTAAATAGTATAGCGATAAAATTTTCAAACATACTGCAGAAACTAAAGAGTGATTTTTCTAGATGGAGCACTTTAAGTTTGGGGAAAAGCTCATTGTAGATTTTGGTATTATGGGATATGTTTATAAGCATTTTTGCCCTCAACAATCCCTAGAGTTTTCATGGATCTCTTTGAGGTTGAACAAAGGGAGTGGTGTACCTGTATGTTCTGACCTGGCAGGCTTGAGGGATAATCTCTGTGTTTAGTTTAGTGCTTAGGTAAATTTGGCAATCTACAAGGGAGGCAAGATTACCTGAGACCAGAGTATAAATCTTCTTCATAGAGGTATATTTGTTCTTTGTCTAGTTATCTAGATTCCTTATAATTATATCAGTTTTAGGAAGAAGGGCCTAAGTCCCATTCATGAACCTAATATTATGGTAACCATAAATAATAAAGTGAAAGAATTGACTTGAATGTCAAGATGAGCAAGAAGAAATACACCTATTTTTTAACACGATTGTGTGCCATGCATTTTACACACATCATTTCAAAGAAAATGCAATCAGCTCTTGAACATTCAAATTTTTGAATTTTTATTCTGTTATATCATTGATTTCAGTATCTCCACCAGAAGGCTAGCAAGAAAGAAAGAACTATGGAGATCATGTTATTCAGAAATTGTTCTGATAGAGGAGGGTTCTGGGAGAAAGTAAATTTAGGAGCTCAAAGGAAAGATTTGGATTCCCTGTGGCTTTCACTTACACACATCCCTGTGTGATCTTGCAGGATAAATGTGTTATACTGTCTTTGGAGAAACAAGCACCAGTAACAGAAATTTAGGGCTAACATTTCTGTACAGAGAACATGAAGATTAGGATTATGATTTGAAGATAAGTTTTAATGTTGTTGTTTTGGGGTTTTTCAAAATACATTTTTATTTATTTTATTTTTTTTCTTTATTGCTCTTTAGAGAGCGAAGGATGGGAGAGGGAGAGAGAGAGAAACATTGATGAGAGAGAACATCAATTGGCTGCCTTCTGCATGCCCCCCACTGGGGATTGGACCCACAACCTGGGCACGTGCCCTGACCAGGAATCTAACTGGTGACCTTTTGTTACATGAGATGGAGCTCAACCAAGTGAGCCACACTGGCCAAGGCTGTGGGGTTTTTCTTTTTTTTTTTTTTGCCTTCTGTGTTCTTATTAGGAACCACCCTTTTCTGGTAGGATCGAGTTAGAATACTTTTCTGTATTAGACATTAAATAAGCAAAATTTTTGGTTGGTATTATTAACCTTAAAGTCCTCTTTGGACCTAGAATAAATGTTGTGCAAATTTTATGTTAATGCTGTGTTTCTTTTCAAGTGTATTTATATGCTACTGAGGAATTCAGGGTATCAGTACCAGAAGAATGAGTAAAATTGCCTATGTGTTATTTAGCAAAATGGTTAAGTGATGTATATGTTGTTTATGTCATTGACTGGATTTAAATAAAAGTATAAAAAATATCTAAATAAAAATAAATTGTGCCTATTTTGTAATGAAGAAATGAAACCTAATGTTTTAAAAATTAGATATTTTTCTGTCCTAGATTATAACTGGGAACCTATGTCTTATGTTGGCCTTTCTATATTTAGGATATTTCTGATGATTGGGAATATTCTTGATTTTAAACTCATATGCATGTTTTATTGGAAAGGTGTGAAAGATTGCCTTGTAAAATGTTAGTTAAAAAAATACACAGAGTATCCCTGCAGAAACCCCTGACAGAGGTAAGCATATGTCTGGAGGAAGTCCAGTTTTGGTAAACTGTGGCAATAGGGACATACTCAATTTTATCCACATAGGCATTTTCTTTTCACGTTTTTATTTCTTTCAGAGTAAGTGAGGAAAAGGAAGTGACAGAAGAACGACTCAAGGCTGAGCAGGAATCTTTTGAGAAGAAGATCAAGCAGTTGGAAGAACAGAATGAACTGATCATCAAAGAAAGGGAAGATATCCTTTTTGAAAGTTCTCCTTTTTAACGTGTAGGAAGTTTGACCCTTTCATAAAGAAAACGTAAACTCCAGAGAAGGAATTGTCCTGATTTATAATGGGGAATAAATCTGCATGGGCTGCCATTTCTAGGTCATCAGAACAGCACCTAACAGCATGTGCTGTTGCTTCCTTTGCGCCCGGTGCGGCCATCTAGCTATGCTGCTGCTGCTTTTATACTGTGGAGCACAGCTCTGTCAACTAAAAGGGCAGTAAGGAATTGGGGCATTAAAATGTAGCATTGGAACATTATTAAATCCTGTCCCACTACTGCAATTGAGCCTGAAACCTCTTTGTATTTTGTAGTCTTTCTAGCTAAACCTTTGTTGACAGTTCTAAGTAAGTCTACTCTAAAATCATAAAAATTTTTAAAAATCTGTTGTAATTTATAGGTGTCGTAATTGATAAGTATTTTACACTGCAGCATAATGCCACCGAACTATTCTCATGGAGAAAACTGTTGGAGTTAGAACTGGGGAGGAGGAGTGTGTGTGTGTGTGTGTGTGTGTGTGTGTGTGTGTGTGTGTGTGCCTGCATGTGTGTTTCTTTGTCTTTTCACGTAGTCATGCACCACATGACGTTTCAGTCAACGATATACCTAATATACGATCATGGCCCCATAAGATTATAATGGGGCTGAAAAATTCCTGTTGTCCACTGACATCACAGCCATCTTAATGTCATAATGGAATGCATTATCATGTGTTTGTGGTGTTCTGGTGTAGACAAACCTACTGTGCTGCCAATCATATAAAAGTACAGCACATACAATTATGTACAGTACGTTATACTCGAAAATGATAATAAACGACTCTGTCTGGATACATTTGCTATACTATACTTTTTATTGTTATTTTAGAGTGTATTCTTTCAACTTATTAAAAAAATGGCTGTAAAACGATATGTCGTGTTACACCAGCAGCAGCCTCATACATCTTGTTTACCATGTCCTTTTTTAAATTGTTAAATATTTTTTCTTTATTGATTTTTAGAGAGAGAGGAAAGTAAAGGGGGGGAGAGAGAGAAAAAGAGAGAGAAACATTGATGAGAGAGAACATTGATTGGCCACCTCCTGCATGCCCCCCACTGGCGATTGGGCCCACAACCTGGGCATGTGCTCTGACCAGGAATCAAACCGGTGACCTCTTGGTTCGACGTTCAACCAGTGAGCCACACCAGCTGGGCTTACCATGTCTCTTGATCCCATCATCATTTTCTTCTGTTCTTGTACAGTGACATGCTGTTCAGATTATTATGGCCTAGGAGCAATAGGCTGTACCATACAGCCTAGATGTTTAGTAGGCTATACCATCTTAGTTTATGTAAGTGCACTCTATAATGTTCACATAGCAACAAAATAGCATAATGATGCATTTTTCTGAATGTATCCCAAAGTTCAGTGGTGCATGACTCTGTGTGTGTGTGTGTTTATATATATATATATATATATATATATATATATATATAATTTTAAGAAAGGAAAATAAAAACTCATGTTTTAACTTAAGATTTGTAAGAGATGTGAGTTAAAATAAGCATTTCTAAAGTTTCTTTGGGTAGGATTAATTATTTTTTAGTGTTTTTTTTTTTTTTTGTAGTGGCATTAATATAAAGAGAAGTGATTGTCCCTAAAGTAAGGATGATGGATCTGCCAGATAAACTAACATGCTTGAAAGATCTATTGCCCTTATTGTTAGTATCATCATTAACTTGATTGTTATTAATTATTCAGTGGTTCTTCAGGTATCAAAAGTAGTGCTGTTTAGTCAGAGTTCACAATAAACTGTACTCAGCCAGTTTGATCTTTCACTTCTTACAAGAAATAGTGTCTCAGGATGGGAGCACTTTCATAAAAGGTAGATTAGGAATGCTTTTATTTGTAGCAAAAATTTGCTTTACAGGGGTCTTTTTCACATGTAACAACTCTGGAGACAAGTGGCTTATAGCATTGGTTCGCCGGCTGTTTTCAGTGCTGGACCTCTAAGTTCTCTTAGCTGCTTCTACTGGTGGCAGGTTTCCAGGTTGCAAACTGGTCACTCCAATTACAGGTATCACATTTGCATTAAGGTAGGAAGAGAGGGGGAGGAAGAGATTCTGGCAGTTGGTACTCCCTCTTCTTTTTAAAAAAACATAAAATCTTTCTCACAGTACTCCTCCCCACCCCCACCCCCATAGCAGTTTTCATGAGATATTTATTGTCCTGAACTTTATTACTTGGCTGCAAAAGAGGCTGAGAAAAGTGAACGTTTAGCTTATCCAATTTATATAGCAGAAAGCAGCAAGGAAGGAGATTGAGAATAAAGTCAGCCTCCAACTCTGTCTGGTAGCAGAAGGTAGGGAAATAGAAACCACTTTTTATATAGGGAGGATGTGGTGATACCTTGACCTTCCTGGAACAAAAGAAAAGAAAAGAGCCCTGGCTGGTTTGGCTCAGCAGTTAGAGCGCCGGCCCGCAGACCAAAGAGTCGTGGGTTTGATTCCGGTCAAGGGTTCATACCTCGGTTGCAGTTCAGTCCTGGCCCTGCTTGGCGTCATGTGGGAGGCAACCGATTGATGTGTCTCACTCACATTGATGTTTCTCTCTCTCTCTTTCTCTCTCCCTCCCTCCCTTCCTTCCTCCTTCCCACAGTGTCTGACAATAAATGGGAAAATATCCTTGGGTGAGGATTAAAAAAAAAAAAACGTGGAATTGGGAGGAGTTGGGGAAATAAGGTAAGAGAGGGAGGTAGCAGACAATTTAGAAAGCCTGGCCACAGTTAGGGGAGGGTGCCTTGTTTATCTGGTGATATGCTTAACAAAGATGTATGGCTGTCTTGAAAAGTATGTAGAATCTAGTTTTGTTGGGCTGTTGTAATAAGCACTCTTTGGGTCAAGATTAATTGTATTGTTGTTGAAGCAGTCTAAAATCAGTATGGCTATGAATGCTTTCTTCTGTCCAGCTAATATTAAAATACCCCAGGTGATTGTAGTGACACAATTTTTTCTGTTTTCCCCATGACTTTGCTCAGGGGTCAGCAAACTACTGCCACGGGCCAAATCCAGTGCCAGCTAAATACAGCCACACCGGTTCGTTTATGTATCTACTGTGCTGCTTTTGCACTGCAGCTGCAAGTCGAGTAGTTGCAACAAAGGCCCTGTGGCCTGTGTTGCCTGCAATATTTACTATCTAGCCATCTACAGAAAGTTTGCTGACCCTGGTCTATCTTATACACTAAAAATGAAGGGAAAAGGCATGTAAATAAAGTCAAAGACTTCAACATGTGTTTGAAGGGATTTGGCTTCAGCCTTTTTTATTGTTATGAATGAAGATGGGAGTAAATATTAGATATTTATCAGTAATTGAAATGGTTTAATATAATTGGTTTAAGATTTTTTGAATCAACAAAAGATAGGTAGTATTTGTGGAACTTGTCAAAGAAGGGAGAAAGGAAGGTATTAAAAACAGTGACACGCATAGTTTTTATTCCAAGGAGATTGCTCAGGTACATATCTCCTTTCCAAGCATAAACCTGTCAAAGGTTAATTTAGATGATTTTTACAGTACATAAAATTCTATAAAACTTAGAAACATAAAACAAGGTTATAATTTAAAACAATCTAATTTTAACTATAGATACATTTACCTATCATGCATGAATGATTCAGACTCTTAAATAGACATGAAACCAGATCATTTTTAAATGTCTCTTTCTTTGTGAGAAACTATATGAATTCTGATTTTTGGCATTTTAAAGATGTGTTATACCAAATTTATGAGTTTTTGTTTTAAAAGTTCTAATAACTTGATTTATTGATCAACTATACAAACACAGATCAGTCCCTTAGTAAAAAAAATGAGAAAAGATATTTTATGTGTTTGCATTTGGACCAAGCTTTTGAGGGACTTGTTCTTATAGTAAATAGAAAATTATTACTAAAACATAAAAATTCTTTGCAATTTTCAGTCTTTGAACAAAGACAGCTTATTTTCTGAGAACTTAACTATGTGAGAACTTAACTATGTAAATGAATATGCCATTTATAGTCAAGCAGTCTGATGAACCTTGTGTATCTTTACCTAGTTAAATGAGTATAAAATAGAGATAAATCTGAAACTTAAAGAGAGAAATATGTCCAATATTCCAATAGAAATAATTCTGAAATATGTTAGCATGTATAGTATGAGACAAAATATATAGTCATTGGAAAAGTTGATTAATATTTGAGCTAACTATACTTCTAGAACATATGTCTTAGGTCAGGATGATATTAAAAGCTTACAGAAGGAAAGTACAGTCTGATGTTTGTTAACCGCACCATTTTAACTGGCAAAGCAAGAAAAGTGATAAGAAAGCACAATGGACTTTAGAGTCAAAATTCTGTTCTAGCGCTGACTACCTATCTGACGTTGGGAAAGCTACTAAACTTCTCTGAGTTTCTGTTTATCTATTCTCTATAGATAGCTGAAAATACCTTTTCTGTAGACCTGCTGACGTTTTTTATTCTTTACATTATGAATGTAAAGAACCTAGCAGTGTCTTGTACTTAGTAGGTACTAGAAAAAAAAGATAGCAATTCTCATTATCACTATCACTAATATGAATGAGGGATCAGATGGATGACCAGCTCCTCTGTTTCTCATTTTTGTGCCTTTCTTCACTGGGGTTTGATTTTCATTAGGTTATGCAAATGCTTAGGCTGCTTAGCAGGCCCAGAAATAGCATGAAATTGATCTGTTCTCTGCTTTATCTTCTAATTCTATGAAAGAGGAAACCTCTGTACCATACATGTACCTGTTGGGTGCTCATTGGGAGGAAACCAGGTCTTACTTTCCTGTCCCAGAAACCAGACTGACAGAAATGCCGCCACCCCCCCCCCCCCTTTCTGGTCTGTTTCTATGTTTCCATTACCTCTCTGAATGTGACTTAATAAATTGAAGGTGTTTAGAGGTTATATGGCTCAGATCCTTGAGCCCACTGCATGAGTAGTCATTTTAGAAACCTTGTTTTAGGAAGAAAGAATTTTAAAGGATCTAACTTTAAACTTTCTGAGGAATGTTTTAAAATGAGCCAAAGGTCTTAGTATGTCTCTGCTGAAAATAGGCTAGAGAAAATTTACAAGAATTTTATCTCATTATGTAAAAAGAAATCATTGATTCGAATAACACTAATACTTCAGGGATATTCTAAGCTTTCCATTTAACTAAATATCTCTTCTAAGGAGCCATGATCTGTTAAGATTTTTGCCTAGAATAGGAACCATACTGTAGAAACTATCATAGAGCTAGGTAGCAGGGTGTTGGGTAGATAGGAAAAGTGGGAAAGGATAGTAGAAAGAAGTTTCATGAGAAAGGAAATAAGATTCAAAAGAAAGGGTAAGTCTCTCCTAATTTTTCTGGCCCTTTATAAGAGAAGGAAGGAGATTCTTTAGTCTTGGAAATAGTATGGGAGAATTAAAAATCTAAATTTCTTAAAATGAAGACGACTGTGGGCAGAGGAGAGAGTGTTTTGGTGTCTGATGGTGTAGTATACTAATATAGCAAGATATGTTACCTCATCACCTTTGATGAATCTTGCCTTTTTTGTTTGGAATAAATATTGGGTTTTTATTTTTTATGTCTACAAATTGAATTCTGTGGTGACAGAATATGTTTTGTGTACTTGGATAAAGTCAGTTTATTCCATTTAACAAGCCCTGGACAATATTATTTTACTAATCAAGTAATTATCTCTAGACAATTGAAGTTGTGCTGCTTGAGGCCTTTTTATTTGCTTGGTGATGCTATGTAACTTCAGTAGGTTTGGAGCCATGATTATTGTATATGTCCTGGAATGCCATTTTATTTATTTATTTTTAAATATTTTTTTAATTGATTTTAGAGAGAGAGGAAAAGAAAGAGAGAGAGATAGACAGATCAATGAGAGAGAACATCAGTTGGCTGACTCTGCATGCTTCCCACCTGGGATCGGGCCTACAACCTGTGCATGTATCCTGACTGGGAATTGAACTGGTGACCTCTTGGTGCATGGGGTCGACACTCAACCAGTGAGCCACCCTAGCCGAACTGGAATGCCATTTTAAATCAGAATAACAGATTAAAGAACTCTTTCCACATGTATTAGAGAAATAAGCATCCATAAGGAAAGAATTGTTTATTACTAGTATTGTTGCCTAAATCATTCTTAAAGATTATTTTGTTCTCTTAAAAGTACTTAGGTATTAATGCTAACTATAGGGGGGATTGATGATAAATGTTTGTAGAAAGTTTAAAAATCATACATTTTTATACATATACCTAATTTAATTTTATAAGCCTTTAGGGGGTAAGTTACTCTGTGATAGTGAGTTATATTTACACTTTACTTTTCTGGAACTCATCCAAGACTAAGAATAAAAAGAAGTGCTCCTCACTGCCCTGATCCCTTATGGATGCACTTTTCTTATGAGAGAATTCCTGGATAATAATAAACTAATTTTCTGATGTCTAGTTCATAAGTCTTTTGCAGATTAGAAGCAGAAAATCAGAAGTGAGGAATGGAGCTACAGTGAGAATATTGAAACTGACAGGAAAACTGTTAAAAACCACATAGGAACTGAAAATACCCAGCAGTCTAGAACTCTACCCACCCAGATACATCTCGAGTCATCAAACAAATGCACTGCCATAGTTAGCATTCATAATGATGATTCTGAGGCATCAAAATAATGTTAAATGTTACCATCCTGTTACTTTTTAGTACTTCTATTAGTAACACAGTCTACAGGTGTATATTGGTTTTCTATTTACAGAGCACTTTAACTTAGACTTTTTAATCTTCACAGTAACCTGGTTAAGTTAGGTGAGGCAGATACTCTTATTCTCTTTCTAAAGATAAAGATACAGATATGGCGAGGTCACTGAAACAGCCCACTGCAGAGTCAAGAGTGAAATCTTTCTAAACCAAGTGTCTTTTTGTTACACCAAATTATTTCTGCAGCAGCGAGTAATACAAATATTGAAAGCTTTATTTTCTGGGGAACATCTGAGGTCTTGTTCCATGGCTTATGTTATCAGTTTGGCTCAGATAAACTCTTTTTAAAAAACGTTATTCTCTACCCTTTATTCTTTAAAGCATACTTTTATTAAAATGTGTAATATTTTTACAATGCTTTTTATCCAAAGTTGGTCAAAATATGTAAAATGTTTCAGAGATTTTCCTGTATTTTGACTTTTCTATTCAGTGACCAAGTTTCTATCATTTTACCTCTGAAACATTATTCTGAGTCTATTATTTTTTGTTGTTTTCACTGACACTTGACTGCATTCCTGCATCATTGTATTACTGTCTGGTGAGTATTCTTTCGTCACTGCATTCATTCTTTCCAAATATCCTTTGATTGACTTCATTCCAACACTGCTGCCTGATTAATCTTTCTTGAGGACTACTTTTATTACACCACTTGGCTTTTTAATCTTTGTTGTGGCTTCTTATGGCCTAAAGTATCAAGTGAATATTCTTAATTTTGACATTCAAGCCCTCCATTACTGGTATCATGTAACATATTTGACTTCACTTTTTTGTTTGGTTTAAAAAAATTTTTAAACTTTGTATATATTTTTATTGTTGACAGTCTTACAGATGTCCTCCATTTCCCCCCCTCTTGCCCCTTCCACCCAACCCTGCCCCACCCCAGACCTTCCCATACTATTGTCTGTGTCCATGGGTCATGTATGTGTACACATGTGATCTTTGGCTAATCTTTTCCCATCCTCTCCACCCCCACCCCACTGAGGTCTGTCATTCTGTTCCATGCATCCATGCATCTGGACCTATTTTGTTTATTAGATTCCACATATAAGTGAGATCGTGTGATATTTGTCTTTCTCTAACTAACTTATTTCACTTTTATGACTTTCTTGCGTGCTCCCTGCGTCCTAGGTAGGAAAGACTCATTGGTTATTCCTAATCATTATAGTTTATTTCTATTTCTTTATCATTATTCCTTTCACTAGTTTTCTTCCTCAAGGCTTCTTTAAAATGTTTTATATGACAATTTTTTAAAAGAGTATTTGGCTCTTAGAATTCTTCAAGCATTCATACATGTACCAACTGCCCTAACTCGTTTATCTCTTGGTTCTTTGGGTATCTGGGTTGTTCTTGCAACAGTTCTGGGTCTTGAATAAGAAAGTTGCTTACATCAGTCTTGGATCAATGCTTGATACCTTTGTGACTTACATTAAAATCATGGAATGCAGGAGCATTTCAATGGCATTTTAGAAAAGTAAGCCAATTTACAGTGGCTTTACACTTATGTAGGGGTGAGAAAGTGAAGGCTGTGAAGAAAAGAAGATATTGTCTCACCAAAGGGGAATCTGTATTTGCAGCTATGTGTATTGATTTACGGCTGGAAGAGAATTTTGAGCAGACATATATGTTGAAACAAATATGCCAGCAAATGCTTAAGATCTGCTTTCTATTTTATACTACCTTTCCTGATGTTCAGTTTTTCTTCTCTGAAAATGAAACAAGTCCTAAAGAAATTCTGATAAATTTATCTGTTAAACTTGCATGCTTTGGAGTATTGAGATAGGAGATAGCGCTTTTTCAATCCCTTTGTTCTCTATTCTGGGTTTAGCAAGGTTCATTTGTATATATATGTATATAGATATAGATATAGATATAGATAGATATATAGATATATATATACAGTCGTCCCTCACCACTTGGTGCTTTGACTTTCACAGCTTCACTCTATTATGGTTTTTTCAAATATATTCATTAAAAAGTTGATTTGAGACAGTGAAAATGATACAGCGCGTGCTCAGTTGTCTGAGTCAATTGTACACCCCTGTATTACAAATTAAAATTAAAATGACTGTACCTATGGACTGTAGGCCTATGTATTCAAGCACCCCAGGAATCCTTCAATGCCAGGTGCAACTCCTAGAGTCTGGAACAGATTAACTGCGATAAATGAGGGACGACTGTATTTGTTCTTTTAGTGTTTGCCATGGACTAAATTGTATCATATGTTGAAGCCCTAATGACCCAATGTGACTATATCTGGAATAGGGTTTTAAAGAGTAATTAAGGTTAAATTAGGTTATAAGGGGAGGGCCCTAACCCAATAGGACTATGGCCTCATAAGAAAAGAGATCTCCCTCTTCCTTTTCTTCCCCCTCCTGCCACATCCCATGTGAGGACACAGCTAGAAGGTCAGGAAGAGAGCTCTCACCAGAAACCAAAGCCTGTGAGACCTTGATGTTGGACTTTCCAGTCTCTAGAACTGTGAGAAAATAAATTTACGTTGCTTAAGCCACCCAGTTTATGGTATTCTGAGCAGATTTTTGACAGTATTTAACATGTACTTAGTTCTTTGGTATTTTTATTCTAAGTATAAGGTGAAAAGACCTTTTAATGCATCCGTAGAAGAACTGTGTTTCTAAACAATAGTGTGTTTTATATTAATGCACTTTGAATAATAATTTAAAAAATATTATTTTGTATTATTTTTTGGATGAAATTTGCTTTTAGGGATTTCTCTGCCTATTGTCTGAGATCTTTTTAATATCGGCTTTGTATCCATTTATAGTAAAACAAATAGTTGTACTGTCCAAGTTTGATTTTGGTAGTGTTTCAGTTTCTTTGGCTTGCTGTGAATTTGGAACCTCAGCATCCCCCCTTTGTTGGTTTATAATGTGTGACACAGATTCAAACAGATTTGGATTAGGGCTTCTACAATGGCCCTCATGGCTAAGGGATTTATTTGTTTTGATGCACGCATGTAAATAAGCTAGCCAAACAAATTCAAAAAAAATTTTTTTGTTTTACATTCTGTTTAAATAATTAAAATTTTTTCAGTGACAGTTTTGCACTAGGTAAATAGTACGAAATCTGTTTAGCATCATTTAAAATTACTTTGGAAAGTTTCAACAGTTTGTGAATGAAGAAATAGACTTTCAATAAATCAATCTTATAATAATTATTGTTCAGGAGAGTTCATTATATCATTTATCCTTTTACATTACTGATTTTCTTTAAAGGGCTGTTTGGATGTAATCTTTTCAGCTAAATCCGTTTGCATGCCATAGCTTGTAATTGTTTTAGATTTGAAGAATACAATGAATTACTTTATTATTTATCAGTAATACATATATCTTAGTGATCTTAACATAATATGGCCTTCACTTATGAATAGCTAAATGATTCAGATGGTAATATTCTCACTTCTGTTAGAGACTTAAACAATAATGTTTCTTTTTTATTTTAATAGTTTTGTCCAATAGTTTACATTTCTAAGCTCTGTAATTTTTCAGATGTAGAATGATTACATAGTCATGTAACGATTAGAAGTTAACTGAATATCTGAAATGGATCCCCCTATAGGTAAGATGGTAAGGATTGTCACTTTCTCCTAATTTTATTATCTTGGTTACTACAGAAATCCCAGGCTGTTGAGCATCTTGTTTTCCTAAATCCTCAGACTTGTGAAAAGCAGAATCAAATGGAGAAAAAGTTTTTCCTGTCAAAACAGCCTTAAGCCGTCCTTGAATTTCTAAATAAATGTAACCTATAAAAATTCAAGTATTTAAACATATTACTTATGTTCCAGTTGGTCAGTTTTTCAAGTAGTTATTATATATGACGTGTATGCTTTATTTTGGGGCCATCCCTATCAGAATTATTTCCACATAGAAGCTTATAAACACTGGAAAAGTGGCAGGAGGCAAAGGAGAAAATAAAGAAAGATGTGAAACCAACAGAAAAGAAGGTTAAAAATGGTAATTGCCCTAGTGAGAAATTTGCACTAGAAAAAGTCTGACAATAGAGAACAGAGCCTATAATATGGTGACAAAAGAGAATAGTGCCCTGGCTGGTTTGGCTCAGCGGTTAGAGCGTAAGCCTGCGGTGCAGAGAAAGAGAATAGTTATTAGCTGGGTGCAGGGAAAAGTTGCCAAATATCCACTTCTGTTTCACATTAATAATCCCAAGGCATCAGTTTGGGCTAATGGCACAAGGACTAGCTAAGCAGTCTAGAAGCAAAGGGAGAGGAGGTTTTAGTATGATGGTAAGTGTAATGATTTAACACTATCCCAGCACTGACAAGTATTTTCTTCATATAGCATTACATAGTGATTTGGGATGACAGAGAGGTGCTTTATGTTGCTATGACACCTTTTATCCTTATTAAATCAAAATACCAATTATATGAAAAGTTCTTTCTGTAAACTTTTAGTTGATTAGAAATTAGATGTCTCAAATATGACATCTCAATGTGTGATATAAGAATACTATAGTATTTTGTAAAGAGCACTAGAATTATAAAACTTGAAATCTTGATTTAGTTTTGCATTTTAACTACCTACCTTGGATAAACTAACCTCTGCAAGTCTTAGTCTCATAATATATAACATGTTAATATCTGAACTATTTACCATATAAGGTAGTCATATGAGCCTAAATATGCAAATTTTTCTAAACTATGAAGTTTTATAAAAATTTAAGGTCTATAAAACATTTTCTTCCCTGAAAAAAATTAAAAATTATAACATACAAAATAGATGTATGTGTGTGTGTATGTATATATATATTTTTTAAATATTATATATATATATATATTTTTTTTTCTTTAATCCGCACCCAAAGATAGTTTTCCGTTTATCTTCAGATAGAGTGGGAGAGGGGGTGGGAGGGAGAGAGAGAAACATTGACATGAGAGAGACACATCAATCAGTTGCCTCCAGGGCCTAGGACTGAACTGCAACCAAGGTACATGTCCTTGACTGGAATAGAACCTGTGATTCTTTGGTTTGCAGGCCGACGCTCCAGCTGCTGAGCCAAACCAGCCAGGGTGATGTGAAGATATATTTAATAAGCCTCTCAAATATGATTTTTTATTTCAGATGCTATTTTTTATTTGAAGTTTTTTTTCCCCCTTTGGAGTGCTCATTCAGATTTCTGTTGCCCAAAGAGTAACTAGTTTTTGAAGAGACATTATCATTTTTGAAGCAAAATGTTTTTTGATTTATGAGGGAGCATCCTTTAAAAAATGTTTTAAGCAATTTAAGAAAGCTTATTGCTAAAGAAGTCAGGTAGGAATTACTAAGGAATCTCACCATTCATTATATGTTGCTCTTGACAAGACGTAGAACAGATCTCAAGGAAAATAATGCAGAAACAAAGCTGAAAAGGCAAGAATTAGATGGAACCTACTTAAGGGTGTTTTATGAATCTGTGTCAGGATTAAGCTTTCTTGTTTATAACAAGAAATGCCAAAGTAACAGTAATAAAAGCAAGATATATGTTTATTCCTTTTTAGTGTAAAATACATTGAGTTTTGGCATGAGG